AGTATGGTGAGATCAGGTGAGTCTAGGAAGGTCAAGTGAATCTGGCTTCAGGGCTGAGGCAGAGCAAGAAACTACTCAAGGGTTCCAGGTGCTGAGAACAAGTACTGAGAAAGGAATCACACAAGTTGAAGGGAGAAATTGGCAGGTGTCCTTCAAATTTCCCACACGTGGTTCCTGGATCTGCTCTTTACTTGGGTCAATATTGCAAACCCCAATGCTCATTCACTGGAAGAAGACATAAAATTAGAGTTTGTAAGGACTTCCCTCACACCCTAAGGACTGACAGGCAATAAAATATTAATTTCCATGCCCAAGTTTAGACCTCTTTCTTTGACCAGGCCTTACAGTCTTGGCTCACTTCCCAGATATGGAGAATGCCCATAATTTGTCAGTTCAAGGCTTGGAGCTGGTTGATCTTCCATTTCCTTTCTATTTTTTTTTTTTTATAAGAAAGAGTGAGACATGATGCAGTTGACCAGATAGGACAGTGGAATGTAACACTACTTGTTGCTTCTGAACACCCCTTGACTTCTCCCTATTTCTCACTATATCTCCCCACAGAGAAGAGCTGATGACTTCATCCTCTTTCGACAGCCTGGAGGTTCTCTTAGATTCCTTTGGGCCCGTGCGTGACTGCAGCAAAGATAATGGGGGCTGTAGTAAGAATTTCCGCTGTATTTCAGATCGCAAGCTGGACTCCACTGGTTGTGTGGTAGGTCTGCCCTGTCAAACTAGTAGTTCATTTAGGGGATGGGGAGGGAAGGCACAGGGTGAGACACAGCACAGGTGTATAGATAAGAATGTGCCATGATCCCCACATGTAACACCACGTTCTGTAAATTAGGAGTTTTCTCTAGATAGAGATGAGGAGCTCATCTCTAGTATATAATTGAGAAGTATTTATGGAGCACCTGCTATGGGTATCATGACTATCCAAAGGAAATTTCATGCATTATATGACATGACTCTTTCTAGTCTTGCAAGATAGTTGATGAGAACAATTTGAGAACCAATTCATTGCTTGATAGTATGACATTAATGCTAAATGTAATAGGAAATTGCAGGAGAAGCCTATCTATAGCTAGAGTCATAAAAGAAGTAAGTTATTCTAGGAATGGTAGAGAAATAATAAAAATTAAAATGCATTCCCTTTATGACCACAGCAGTGAGCTCCTGCTTCTGCAAAGGTAGGTTTCTACTTTGTCATCAGCTCTGTTGACTTTGGCTACCTTTAAAATAAGTGATTCTGTTAACTTGTAAGAGGATTTGGGCTGGAGTAGAGTAAGACATCCCCCACACCATGAATATGAAGACTGTATTGCACACCACGCAGGCAGATGGAGGCAGGAGCAGGAAGAGCCTTCTGCTTTGGCTGCTGGCTCTTTTATGTTGACCATTCTCATGTTTCTCATAGCCATCAACACTATTGTCTCTTTTTAGCCCTTCCTTCTCTAAAGGGCAGAATGATGCAATCCTCAAGAAATGAGGGGGAATGGGACAGAGATTCAGGGAAGCCGGGCAGAGTGAGAGCAGAAGAGAGGGGGAGATGATTCACTGGGACTCGTAGTTCTACAGTGTTAGGGAAGGCCAGGAGCTTTCAGCTCTGGCGTGGATGTGGTCCCATCTTGCTTTCCAGTCTGACAGCTGTGCTGTGTGGGGGACCCAAAGCAAGAGAAAGCTGTGAGGATGCTGAGTTGGTACCATTTTTTAAATCCCCTCTTCCCTATCTCAGAGCACCTGTTCTGTTCAGGGAACTGTTCTCAGTCAAAGATAGATATATGTGCCTACTGTGCTGGTGGAACTCTCCCAGCCCTGTGGGAAGATGAGAAAAGGGAAAGAGAGAGCTGGGGGATAGGTAGGAAGAGGGACGGGAAGAACACAGGGAACAACCAGGAAAACACAAAGAAAGATGATCTTTAAGGCACTCCTCCCAAAGGTGACCAGGAGGTAAGCTGATGTCCCATAGGGCTCCCCTCCCTTTGGCTGTCCACATTCACAGGTCTCAAGCACAAAGAATCAACTTGGTCTCTCAGGAGACAATTTCATTCTCTAATGGAGCTCCCAGCTGACACACTTTTTTTCTTTTTTAAAACTATTCAGCCTACATTTCTTCATCCAGATTGCAACCTTTCATTTATCATCACTCTCTGGGGTCATTCTAAGTACTGCCACTGTATTCTGTGTACAGGTGTGCGAGGCCCCCCCACGCGAGTTTGAGCATGCACATGCATCCAAATGCACACACACAGGGATAGACTCTCCCCTTCCTGCTGTGTCTCTGCCTCTTCCAGAGCTCCTCAGGGCTTGCCTGTCAGATGCCTTCTGTTGGTGGTCCTAGCCCCTTTTACTTGGCACGTAGCTGTGCTGATAGATTTTTGTACTTTTAACACTGTGATCTGTGAGACAGTGCTAGCAAGAATAGTTCTAATGAATATGCATTTGCGATAAGGCTGCTGCATTTTAGAACTGGAGCCACTGCAGAAAGTCACCCAATTATGCCAGTACTTTGCATTAGCATAATACCTTGAAGTCACTGGTCCACGTGGCCCCTGGAGAAGGAGGAGGCAGGCAGATCGGCAGGGCACACCGAGTTCAGCGTTTCTTATTGGCAGTGAAGCATGGGATCCCGAGACAGGAGGATGATGGGTGAGAGGGGATGTGTCCCACCATGCGCTGGCACTCTAGTGAGAAGACCAGAGATTGGACTTTGAACCTGACCAGACTCCTGCAGGCTTCAGAGCTGCCCGAAAGCCCTCGTTTATTAGCAGAGTGGTCCTTTGTCATCTGGAAGTAGACCAGGGACAGAGGCAGCAGATGCAGTGACTGCAGGTTGAGAACCGGCCTGCCTTCTGCTTCTGCGCATACACCCACCCATTCAGTCTTCTAGGTGCTGAACTGAAAGGCTTCCCCAGGTAGGTCTATTTTTATGAAAGGTGAAAAAAAATGAGAGACTGGAACCTGCTGGACCTTTAGGAACCTGCGAAAGGGGCAGAGAAGGAGGCAGAGACAGAGCGTCTACCTGTTTATTCTCCTGACAATCCTGATTCGCATTTGGGCCCCATGGCCTGCTCAACCTTCATTCTTTCTAGGAAGCAGGGCACGTTTCTCAGTTATGCCTGGACTCCCACAGGGTTAATTGCTCCCCAGTTAATTACCCTGTTGTTTATATACTCTCTGAGGACAGGAAACAAATAGCCGTGAAAGGCACAGACCTGTACAAACCCCAACGGCACTATCCCAAACCAGACCATGCCCAACAGCTGTGGATTGCTGAAATTTCCGGAAGTTCCCAGAGCTGAGGTCAGCCCCCCACCACTGGTGACCACGTCTTACTCGCTGTCCTCATGTGCCATGTGGGAGCTGTGGTCCCCGCCCACTGAAGAGCAGCAGTTCTCTTTGCCTAGAGCTCTACGGGGCCCTTCACGGGTGCAGTGTTATCTTACTGCTGCTGTAAAGTTAGCAGCTTAAAGCTACACAAATTGATTATCTTACAAGTCTGTGGCTGAGAATCGAATGTGGGTCTCACTGGGCCTACACCACGGTGTTACCAGGGCTGCATTCCCTTCTGGAGGCTCTAGAGGAAATCTATTTTCTCACCCTTTCCAGCTTCTAGAGTACCCCCCAATTTCCTAGCTCATGGCCCCCTTCCTCCATCTTTAAAGCCAGCAACAGTGTACTTTTCTGACAATTTTTTATAGCACAATTCCCATTCTCCAATTATGCCTCTCTTCTCCACTTCTAAGGATTCCTGCTATTACATCAGTCCCACCCAGAAAATCCAAGACAGTCTCCCCATCTCGAGGTCCTTTACTTAGTCACAGCTGCAAAGTGCATTTTGCCATGTAAGGTTGATAGGTATTTAGGATTGTGTCTTGGACACCTTTGGGGGAACCTTCCATGGGTGATGGCAGTAGGGCTTAGAGCAGACTTGGCACCTTTCTGCTGGGAGCTGAGCTTGAACCAGGGAGTCTTCATTCTTATCCTACCTGTTGAGCCATAAAATTGTGTTTGAAACTTTGAAAATGATTTCCAGTGTGACACACACACAAAGGAGAGCTCTGGAGGTGGCTGAATATCCTTAGGTGAGCAGGCTATGCCAGGAAGGGGAGAGGTCTCTGCCTGCTTCCTCCTGCATTGAACACATGACCTTCCTTTCTGGAGCATTATGCTCTAATGAGCTTTGAATTATCCAATGACCCTGCCGCCCTTCCTTCCACATGCCGTCCACAATGGTTTCCCATGAAATGTGTCATTTCACCTCTACTGGAGCACAGATGTGTGGAGGCCATTATACATGACCATCTCTCTTTCTCTCTATAGGACAGTAAGCATTAGAGTATGCCTCAGAGGCTTCCAAAGAAATGGGGGCAGGGAGCTATCGCAGTCTGAAACATAAATTTAACTCCATCAAGCGTTTCCCCCTGGGAGAAATAGTCCTCAGTGGCTTGGGCATGAATGTCAGAGCCTATCAAAAAGTTTGGAAATCATTATTTGTGAAAAGAATAAGATTGCTATCCAGTAAAAGAGGATCTATTTTTTTTTTTTTGAGACAGAATCTCACTTTGTAGCCCTTGGTAGAGTACTGTGATGTCATAGCTCACAGCAACCTCAAACTCTTGGGCTTAAGAGATCCTCTTATCTCAGCCTCCCAAGTAGCTGGGACTATAGGTGTCTACCATAACGCCAGGCTACTTTTGGAAACAAGGTTTTGATCTTGCTCAGGCTGGTCTCGAACTCCTGAGCTCAGGAGATCACCCATCTCGGCTTCCCAAGGTACTAGGATTACAGACATGAGCCACCACTCCTGGCCAAAGAGAACCTATTTTGAGTAGGAATTATAGTTGTGTGTCTTATAAATCTTATGAATCATCCCAGTAAGGCAAGGCAGGCTCGGCTATAGGTCTCTCAGGGGCCCTGAGAACGCTCATGTTCATCGCTCATATCTGTCTGCCCACAGAGCATCCATTTCATAATCTGGAACTGAGGTGTGCGTGTCTCAGACTTAGCAAGATTTGATTAGCTACCTAAGTAATTAATCAACTGAAAACCACTGGTAGGAAAAGAAGGAAAGGATGACAGAGAAAAGAAGTGGAATGGGAAAAATCACTTTAATCTCATTAACAAATTATGCCTTGGACCAGTAATAAGTCAAGAAGCCATGAGAATCTCATGAAAGATGATTAACCTTGTGTATTTTAGGGGTCACTGAAATATGAGCTCATTTACCAGAACTTCTTGATGGTGGAGAGTTTTGTTGCCATAATAAATGGAGTTTTCTTCTTAAGCCTGTACTTTATAAAGTCCCTGGGACTGCTAAATGTAACCTTTGCAGAGAGGGGTTAATATATGACCTTGGGGCTCTCTCCTGAGCAAAGAGTTTTCTTTCAGGGATCAAGTGGAAGGATTGTCGGTAGCCAGGAGAGAAGAACATTCAGCCTTTGCAAACAGAAAGTGCAAGCTTCTCCTGGAGGCAGGATTTCTTCCTGACAACTGAGATCTAGCCGAAAATACTTCTAGGAAGAGAGGCATAGTTTAGACTAGTTTCTCTATATTTAGGTGTAGATTTTGAGGGAACCCAGAAAGTGAATATAACAGCAGACAGAAGATACAGACAAAAAAATAAATAAAAATACAGATTCATACCATAGGAAACTTGATTATTAACTCCTTAGAGAACGGGTGTTCTGATTCCTAAGAGTTAAGAAGAAGATTCTATTTTTGGTTTTACCCTTTCTTTTCCCCCTGGAAGTCTTTCTAAAATGTTTTACTCTAAACTGCAGCCCAAGTAAGTTATAGAGCAATAAAGATAATTGCATCTTTTTCAGTGACTGAGTATCTTGTCTTGCCATCAAGGTCATCACTCTGGACAATCTGCAGCGTATTGTTCTAAAATATTTGCACTTGTAATGTTTTGTGTGTTTGTAAAAGGAGACAGAGAGATGAGAGAAAAATAAACTAAGCTGAATCTTCAGATCTATAATTGACCCCAGGATATACTCTGGGAATTGCTTAAACAAGCAAACAAATGAGTCTACAGGATTGCTTTACCTAGTTGACACATTGACTTTATTTCTTTAGGGATTCCAGTGAATCCAGGTTTTATGATACTTGAGAGGCAGCATGGCAGAATGGAAGGAGCACACAGCCAAAAGGGTCAGACAGTCTAGGCCCAACGTCTGATCATGCTGTTTTCCCCCACTGTAACACTGAACAAGTTACTTGGACTTTTTGAGTCTAATTTTGCTCGTCTGTAAAATGGGAAAGATAAAAGTGTACCTGTGTTGTTGGGATTGAAGGTAATACAGGTAGACCGACTTGCACAAAGACTGACTTAAATCCTGATAGCCATTTTTCTTCTTAGCATTGCTGGCAAGAAAAAAAAAAATCAACTTGGACAAAGCAGCTAATGCTGCTTTTTCTCCAAATTGCCTAAGAGGGTGTGAATTTTAGGTAGTCCAATTTGGGATTGCAAAGGTCATCCAGCCCCGTTAGTGCCAGGCAAGGTAATGGATATGCCAGGTTTTGGAATTCTGGAAGAAAGCTTGCTTGTGTTTTATTTGGTGAAGTCTTTGTCATAAGTCATGCTTGAAGGCACATTCTGGAAAAAAGCAGGTGGTTGAGAACATGGACAGTCCTGGCCAGTGACTGACACAGCTAGCTGGTGTAACCACCACATGGGGTGGGAATAATAGGACTGGCTTTAGTTTTCTCTGCTTCATGGCTTCTAGTAAGCTTTACAGGAAGAAAACCAACTCAGAGCAGTGCAGCCCATTTAATCCCAATCAAACTTCTGTGTTTTCTGTGTTTTGATACCACCGTCCATGCCTGGGCAGCCACATAGTGCTGAAGCCAGCTCCCTTCTGGTGGCACATCTGGCCTAACAGCTGGGTGACCAAAGAATTTGATGGGTTGGAGGCTAAAAAAACATGGGGTGCAGTCCTCAGCTGCCTCATTTGCTTGTTTACCATCATTGGTACATCTGGGCTTGCACACGGCATGGGGCAACCCTTGGAAACTTCTTTTAGTGCTGTCACCTTCCAGCATTCCAGCTGCCTTCACAGGGAGAGAGGGGGATGGGCCAGGCCGGGAGCCTGGCAGGCCCACAGAGGGCCATTTGTTTGGGAAATTGTAGAATTAATGTTAGCAAACAGTGCATGTCCTGCTGTGATCTAGACTGGGAAAAGAGAAGGAGGGGAGGTGGGGTTCAGAGGCACACATGTGGCAGCTCTGGGCCACTTGGCCAAGGTGCTTGGCAGCACAAGGGATGAGCAAGCTAGGTGGCAGGGGGAGGGGGAAGAATGTTCCACCCTGTCTTCCACCGAGTTTTCAGTTTTTTTGTTTGTTTGTTTGTTTATTTGGTTGGTTGGTTGGTTGGTTTTACTTTTGGAGGAGTGTGTTAGCCACCCAATGGTGTATATATGGTGCAGTCATTAAAAGCCTTGGCATTGGAGTCAGATCAGGACAGACCCCTAGCTCTGTCACTTTCTAGCTGCTTGACCTTGGGCAAGTTATTTGCACCCTTCCAGGATGTGAGAAAGGATCAGCTCTCATGCAAATGTGCAGAATATGTTGCATTGGTAGAGGAGGATGGCAAAAAAATAAGAAAAGTCCTCGCCTTTTAAATGAAGCACAGTGCAACAAGGAGTTTATGCATTAGTATTTTCCTGGTCTCTCAATCGGGATACTATAGGGGGTCGTGAGATAAGATGCACAAAGCACTTAGCAGAGTGGCTCCTAGTAAGTGCTTAGTGAGTGGTGACGGCTGTATAACAGCCAGGTATGGTGTGAGCTCATGACAGAGCAGCTGAGTCACGGACACCATAGCTGGTAGGCCAGGGTCTCAGATGTGATCCTGCCAGGGGCAGTTATGTGACTATAGGAAAGTTAAACTCTCTTGCCTCAGTCTCCTCATGTGTAAAATGGGCATGATCACCTGGCTTAGCTCCTAGGAGTGTTGTGAGAGTAACATGAGCTGGAGACTGAGTTGGATAGACCACTGCCTGGCGTGTTGTGCGTTCTGTGTAAACGCTGCTATTGCTCACCACTCCCCTTTTCCACCTGCAGGGACAGGCATCTCTCCTAGAAATTCTCTTCTGCTGTCATTCCTGGGGAGTTTGTTGAGGACAAGGTAGTGCAGAGAAGCTAAATATTTCCTATTATGTGTCTGGTCCAAACCCAAGTGCAACACCTGTGGGTATTCGTGTCCTCCAAAGGTGGACAGGAAGGTGATAAGTCCAGCTATTCCCCTTGTGAGAGTGGTCAGCCCCTCTCCAGGTTACAGAGAAAGTCTATTCCTTCTGCAGGCTAGAAGCCCTGTGGTCCATTCCCTCTGCTACTGCTATTTGGTATGAATGTTGACAAAGTGCTTTGGACATTTAAAAAGTCCTCTTAATACTAAGACCAAACAGCAGCACTTCTTCCCCCTAGCCCAGAGGAATTTCTGCTAATACATTGTAATTCTGGCCCATCACCATCACCTCTGCTCTCCAGCCAGAGGCCCAGTTGGGAGGCCAGGATCACCCCTGGCTCTGTCTTGCTGCCATGCTCCCTTCCAGTGTTCTTGGAGGAAGTGGCTTTAATGCAAATGGGTGTGATTTGTGCCCAGAGAGAAGCAGCAAGATGTCAAAAAAGGTCAGTGGCTTTGAAAGGGAGACTGGTGTGGTGGGAAATCTGTGGAGTACTTGCCAATGTTAACAGTTTCAAGGCTGAGTGTTAAGAATCGGTGTCAGTTCCCAGAGAAGTCAGTTCCCTGGTTCATCCACCTGTGTGGATGCTTCTGATTGTTCCAGTGCCCATCCGGACTCAGCCCCATGAAGGACAGTTCGGGCTGCTATGACCGCCACATCGGGGTGGACTGTTCCGACGGCTTCAACGGCGGCTGTGAGCAGCTGTGTCTCCAGCAGATGGCCCCCTTCCCCGATGACCCCGCCCTGTACAACATCCTCATGTTCTGCGGGTGAGTTGAGCTGCCAGGGAGGGCGCCTGGAGTACCCCTGTCCCAGGACACCGGTCTTTCAGTGCTAAAACCCGGAAGGTAAATGTAAGTGCCTCGGTCACCCTAGGCCAGCCTTGGGCTCTGAGGAGACAGCACTTTTAAAGTCCAGTCAAGTTCCTATGGAGGGAAATTGAACCTCTGGGATTTACCAGCAAGGGGAAATAAACCACATAGTTTATTTCTAGCAGTCCCTGCTTAAGCTAGAATTTTTCAAGTTGTGTTTTGTGGAGCTATGTTAGGTATTTTGTTACCCTCCCCCCCCAAAAAAATTTCATAGTCTAAAACTTACAAAAGATTGTGCAAAGCTAATCAATTCTCAGAGAAGTAGGGTAATCTTTGGAGAAAAGGAAACTTCTTTACATTGTACCCCCAAAGTCCCAGCACTTGGTGGAGCTCCCCTCCTCAGGGGTGGTCACCCTGGCGTTAAGAGCCCTTTTCTGTGAATCAGATCTCTGGCCCACCTCGTTTCATTTGTTCTCAGCTCTGTGAGAGAAAAGGGCAGGCAATGCCACTCCATCGTACAGGTGACAAAACTGATGCACAGGGAGGTAAAGTGACTCCCTCACGATTGGGGAGCTGGAGAAAATGGGAGGATTGGGACTAGAACTCGGGCCCTCTCTGATTTTTTTTAAGAGCTTTGCATTTCTCTCAAAACTTAAATTCACGTCGCTGACTGGAATTATATTTAAAAATATTTTTGTGCTGTATTTATAAAGTAAATAAGGATTTAGTCTAGTCTTTTATACCCATGATGTGCTCATCTCTTCTGCCTACGCCTTTCCTCCCCCCCTTCCTCCTTCCCTCATCCTCCCTCTGCCTCCCCTGTCTCCTGTCCCCAGCTCTCTGTCCCCTCCCCACTCTCCCTCCTGCTTGTCAGGGCTTACTTTATGTCCTAGACTGTGCTGGTCAGTGAGCTACAAAGATAAATATTATGTAATCCTTGCCCTCAAGGATCTCACAGTCTAATAGGCTTGCAATAAAAATCAATGTTTATAGTAATAAAACTATGTTGAATTGTTGCTAAAAGCCAGTGCCTGCTGAATAATCACAAAAAGATTATTTGGCGGAGTTGTAATGTTGTTTTATTGTATTTCATTTTATTTTATTTCTTTGTAATTGAACAATTTTCATATTCAGTTTCTTGTAAAATCTCATCCCATAAATGGAAGCTTGCTCTAAATTTTAATGTTCTCTATAATGTTATCATTAGGGTTGACTGACCCATTTTAATTAATAGAGGTCCACTCAACCAGTTTCATAAACTCATTGATTTAATAAACGTATATTTGGGCACCTACTGTGTGCAGAGAGAACCTCGTTAAGCGTCAGGCCTAGGGGAAACAGCAGGATGCCAGACCTGTTCTCTCCCCTCAAAGTTTATGGAGGGACACACAGCCAGGAGAGTAGGAGAGAGGAAGGTGTGGAGGTGTTCAGG